CTGGTCTTGTACTTCTAATGCACATTCATGAGCAAAAATTGCACAAGAACTTCAGCAAAATTATTTGGCTACACTCTGGGATCCAGCAGGTAAAATAAATATAAACCTTACAGAAAGTCCTTATGGAAGCAGATGCTGGTCCAGCTTTAACATCCAGATCCCTTACTTACCAAATTCATTACCCTTGGCAAGAGTATTACAATCGTCACCCTCAAAACCCACACACTTACCCTTCCCCTCTAATGGGTGCAAACAAGGCCCAAACAAGTGAAATAACCAAGTACTGAATAAACATGGGCCCAGCTTCAGGCATGGGAGGGAAGAACTGAGGCATTTGCTTAGTCAAGTGGATCTATGGGGCAGATAAAGCTGGAGGCTAGAAGACCCTCGAACCCACAGGGGGCCCTCAAGAAGCTTTTGATAACAAACAACAACTTCTGACACATTTAAGTGCAACCTGCTACAAGAAGAGAATGCAATGAAAAACAATCAAGTATGAGTGACACCCATGAAGGGACAAGTTTCAGAGAGCTATTGGAACTTTTAGCACGGTACAAAGTAGCCACAACCAAGCCATGCCCACCTTCTGTTTTAGAGCTGTAAAGAAGCCACATCTAGAGGAAGAGGGATAGTCATTGTCCCCACATGAAGCAAATGCAGACTCAGCTAAAGTGATCCTCCCAAAGCACAGAAGCCTGTCCAGGATCCAGGTCTTCCTCCCTTGTGCTGTATGCATGGCTTCTGGCAGTAACACAGCAGGACCGTCTGCCACCCGTGCCATACACAGCCTCCAGCGGTAATACAGGAGCAGGACCATGTGCTGCCTTTGCCATACACGGCCTCCAGCAGCAATGCAGGAATAGGATTGTGTACCACTAACACATTAACGCTCCCTCTTCTCTCCCACCGGTAATACAGGAGCAGGACCATGTGCTGCCTGTGCCGTACACGGCCTCCAACAGCAATGCAGGAATAGGATTGTGTACCACTAACACATTAACGCTCCCTCTTCTCTCCCACCATCTGACCGTCTGACCCTGGACCATGCCGTCAGTTAAGAGGTGGGCATCAGTAAGCTGCCCAAGCTAAAGGAATACTGGTCAAGACCTGACAGCAGATTAATATAGTGTATTGTCTTTTTTATGGCATTAGAGAGGTCAAAGCCTGTAATCATTTTATCCCCACATTTCAGAGAAATAAAGTAATTATAAATCATTCTGTTTATTAGATTTCTCAGCTATCCAATCACTGCTTATTTTGAATATGGTTACCATCTAGCTATAATGAAGCAGACCTTTTATATACCGATCCCTACAGCCAGCAATAAAACATTATAAATCAGAAAGGAGTCCTATGAAATGTGGAAACCTTCACTGGGCTGAAAATTATACTCTGAAATCCACTGAAGCACAGACAACTTTAAATGGGATTCTCCTCCCACAAAAATCACTCACTCCTCTAAGTTAACCTAAACAGTTCTGCTCCTACAAAAGGACTTTGCTATGTATGTTGGTAGTTCCATAAGATGCTCTCTGGAGGTAGCAAGAAAAATTTGGCTGAAAGGATCCAGCATTTTAGTGTTAACTGGCATATGCATTTCCCCCAAAACACTGGTACAACTATCTCTCCCTACTTTATACCTGAATGGCATAAGACCATTACCTAGCCCATTTTCTGATGAAACAGACCTACACTTATCTTCCACAGCTAGAAAAAGAAGAGCAATAATGAGATCTACTTAAGTGCCTAAACAAAACTCCACTTCTGGGCCAAAAACCCAAAACTACTAGGCACAGCTGCTCATTTGAAATTTCTATTTCTGCCCCTAAATGCTGAGCACCTCAAGAAGTTGTCAAGGAGTCTTCAGTGAGAGTATCTGTAGGTCAGGCTGGGGTGATGAATGGAAAGGCTATAAGATGGATTTCATTATACCAGGAGGGGAGGAAAGAGGGCCAAAAGGAAGTAGAGGAGAGCTGAAATGCAAAGGATTTATTCCATTTCTCAAAAAATAACATGTCTAAGCAGCTACTGCTCTCCAAGTCTAGGTTCAAGTTCACAAGAATAAGACAAAAAGATGAAGAAATGAGGTAGGATACAAAACTCAGACTGCTTTGTTTTCCAGATGTTCCTTCAATCCCAGTCTCACCACTCCATCAATAGACAGCAATAGCTGTAAAGGAAGGTAGAAACTTCCCCACCGGCCCCCTGCTAGCCAGGAGAACTGCTGGGTTGAGGTTACTCTCACCTGGCCATCTGCTTGTAGGCTTCCTCTGCCACAGCAAAGATGTGCGGGTCCATGTCTCCCATGTTTTGGCCACTATAGGCATAGATGACATCTTGCCCATAGATTGGCAACTTTTCATAGGGGTTAATGGCAACAAGCACGATACCTGCGAACAGACAAGGCAGTCAGATTCTGAAAGCACAACAGCCAGCTGGCATCAGCTAAAGCACCCCTCCACATACATCAAAACAGAGAAACGGCAAAGTAACAGAATGAGAATCCAATCACTCAACAAAATCAGATATATCTGTGTGCTTTTGTGCTCGACCCTGGTGAAGAAAAAAATGAGTAAGATACAGGCCAGGCAGCCAAACACCCTATAGTCTAGAATAAGCACACACACGCACTTTCAAATGCTCAATAAACTGAGTTCATAAAATAGACATGCACAAAGTGTTACAGCATCGGAGAGAAGAGGATGTTTAACTCTGTCAATAAGTATGAGAGAGACTTAAAAATCCATCTCAGAATTAAAATCAGGGAAAGGAATTATTAATTTTTATATCTCTGTGTGAGTTATCTTAACTAAAATACAAACAACCTGTGGACAGAGTATGATTTACATATCTCGAGGTGTAATTTTGAATGGGTATGCCCCCAGTATGAATCTGGCCCTCACGTGATGGGCAGGAGGGATGACAATTAGCTTTGTATCTCATGAATATTCATAATAAATAAATTAAAAGGTGTAAGTTTGGCTCAACCAATTACTAACTGTGTGATTTTGGCAGCTACTTAATCTCAGTACCTCAGTTTCCTCAGCTACAAAATGGGGATAACGACTGCATTTACCTGGACGTCTTAAGAATAAAATGACTCATTGAGAGAGGAAACACTTAGACCAGAGCCTGGCATAGTAAGCACTGTGTGTTCACTTTTTCAAAATTACATCACATCTCATATCATATCTTAGTTTTTTTCCCTTATATCTGTGTCCCCAAAAGGTGCATTGCAAACGCTGGACTGAATAATGTTGACTGAGCAATCAGGAAATCCTATAAGGTTCAGATCATCTTTTACAGATGAGTGAGGCAGACAGGGAAAATATGCAACTTCGATCTTTAAGACAAATCTGCCTTTTTCTTTCCCTTAACACTGCATGCTGGATGTCAGAAGACCCACTGACCAAGATACAAAATCTAGAAGCTATTTCAGCCATTTGGGGAAGAAGAGGCAAGAGTGGAACGAGCCACTGCTGAGACAGGAAGTCTCCTATGTTGTGTCCCCTTCTGGGGACTGAAAAGACACACAGAAAGCCTGACATGTAATAAACCAGATTATTCCAAACAAAGGGGAAAGGGCCATGGGAGAAAAGAAATACCTAAGTCCTTTTTTTTTTGACAGAAGTTGGCCTGAAAAGGCAACCTGAACCAAAATCTAAGGGCCAGAACCCATGTAATAAACCAGATTATTCCAAACAAAGGGGAAAGGGCCATGGGAGAAAAGAAATACCTAAGTCCTTTTTTTTGACAGAAGTTGGCCTGAAAAGGCAACCTGAACCAAAATCTAAGGGCCAGAACCCTAATAAAATAAGGCTAATCACTTCGAGAATCCTCTTAGGAACAGTCTCAGATGTTCTGCTGGCTGCTAGAGAATTCTATAAAACTAATTCATGCAGCATTCAATTCAGATTTTTATATCATACCCTAAGGGTCACATATTTTCCTAAAATATCCTGGCCCCCTCCAGAGCAGAAACAAGTGCTTCCTTGACTGAGAATTCTGTGCTATGTCAGTCACCGAATGGCTGAAGCTGGAGGAGCTAAGGTGCATTTGGATAAATATGTACAGACACTAGGACGTCTCAGGGGGGATTCCTTTAAAATTGGAAGTTGATGGTCATATATCCCTTTCTCCTAAAAAAGGAGTCCATTTTTTTTTTAATCTTCTTATTGAAGAAAAATCTCATTGAAGGCTCTGATAATTGATGGTTTCTTTCAGATAAAACTACCACTAGCAATTGGGGTGAAGAAGCTTTAGGGAAACTATACCACTCAAGTACTGAAATCAACATGCTATTCACAGCTCCTGAAATCTGGCAGAAAACCTCACCTTAACTTAGTAGCTGAGCTACCAATTGAAAACCAAAGTGGAATACAACAGTGAAAAAAACCCTGAGCACCTGAAGCATCACTGGTGACCATGAACAAAGACCAGTCTCCAAGGTGCAACCAGGACCACTCCCAGAAAGAAGCCCTGTGGCTTGACCCCTCAACCAGATCCTCAACTCACCTGCCTCTCAGTAGTTTATAGGATTCTATTTTCGCCAAACTACTTAAAAAAGGAGATAAAAAACCAAAATTTGGAATGTGGAAAAAGGAGATGTTTCAAGAAATCAAATTTGGTAATTTCAGTACTTTTTGCTTAAGCACTTTGTTATGAATTTTGTTCATTAATTCAGCAAATATTCACCAAGCACCATGTTTGTAGATAAGCAAGTGAGAGGATCAGAGAGGGGCCAGGCCTTTTAAGCAGAAAATAAAAACAAAAACAAGCCAGGTGTAAATTCATAGCATGTGTTTGGTGGTGACAGCAGGTGTCCGAGCGAGGGCATGGTGAGGTACTCACTGCTCTCCTGCAACTCCAGGACGGGAGCCTAAACCAGTCACCCCGCATGGTGGGGCCCATTACTTCCCTGGTTGAGCTGTGATTAACACCAATCATCCCACGGAGACCAGGGCAGCCTAATTAAGCCACATTCACTGATTGCAAACCTTTCAAGGGTCTCCAATGACAGGTACTTATAAATGAGAGAGTGAAATTAGGACTCAGCCATTTGAGTTTGACAAGTAAAGTCTAAAGACGGCAAGCACTTTCAAACACATGCAGCCAGTAGATGCCCCCTGACTTACCACAGTAAGTGTAGATATGGTTGGACTCCAGGAAACGGACCTTCAAATTGTGCAGAACTGCAGGCTCGTGTAGATAGCTAAGGGCAGTGAGGTCATTTTCTCCCACCAAGATATCTGGATTCCGTAAAAAGGGCATCTCATTGTTCTGAACATCAACTGGATATTCCTGAATCTGAAGAAATGCAAGTAGCAGACAAAAAGGCAGAATTATGAAGCATTTGGTCTGTATTCAATGTCCTGTCTTCTTGGCTGGATCACTACCCTAACATGATCATACATGATGAAGATAAATAACGTTTTAAAGAGAGGCAAGCTGAACAAAATACCTGTGTTCCCATGAAAGACCAGCCCAGGTGGAACATTTGCTGATAACATAATCCTAGTACATTAAGGTAAAAGACTGACACAAGAAATTCAGGAAGCACAATCAGATTTAAGAAAATGTTCTATTGCTTCTTAATGAAAAAATACTGAGTCTTTAAATTCCAGTTCCCATAAGGGTGATGTTCTTTCTTCCCACTGGGAAATCTCCTTTGATTGGGTCCATTTATCACTGGTGCTTTACTCCCTTCCCAATCAATCAACACCCTTGCTTTTTATTTGGATTATCTTGCAACTGATGAACTGTCTTCTATAAGTGACCTCAGGTTGTACCATTTGTACATATACTTCTTCACAACTTAACAGCAAGATCCTCTAGGGCAACAATCTTGCTCTGACCTAAAATACAATAGGATCTTGGGATACACATGTGTAATCAGGGAGTAGGATTACATATCTTAAGGTCAAATTCAGATGCAAGTTGTTATCCTTGGATTTTTAGCACAGCACTTGGACCACATAAGTATTCAAAAATGTTTACTGACAGGATTTATAACTGACTACATGTATGCTCACACATGAACACATGTGATTTATCAAAAGGTAGTGGGGGATGTTTTTAAACCTTTAACAAGAGGAACCTGGCTGCTGCTCACTGTGTTTTATCTGAGTGCTAAGTTTCTTTTTTTTTTTCTTTTTTTTTTTGTCTTTTTTTTTTTCGTGTCCAGCAACAGATCGCAACCCTCAGTGTCGCACCCGTACCGGACCGGGAC